AAAAAAAAAAAAAGAAAGTGAGTTGAATTTTTGGGGAAGAGTGTTTGATTATCCATGGTCTATTGTGTGGTGTATGATGATGGTGATGAGTCTTTTTGACCAAAACAGATAAAGTGGTGAGAGAGAGAGAGAGAAACAAAGTTAGAGAGAAGAGAGAAAAAAAATAAAAAAAAAGGAAGTAAAGATTTGGCCTTTGATACAGCCCACTATTGCTTCTTGTTGTCCATGAAAGCTAGATACTTTCATAGACAAATTTTCCTTCTCTCTCTCTCTTTATCCCTTACTTTTTTTTTTTTCTCTCCTTTTTTTTTGCTAATGTGCTTTCTTGAAAGGCCTGTGTGCTGAATTTGGAGTAGCCTTTTTACAAGTGGCTCGTGTGTGTTATTCACTCAGTAATTAATTAACCTTCTTTCTATTCGCTTGTTCTAGCTGGGACAATTTTTCTCTCTGGCAAGAAGATGCCTATGTTTCAGCCTCAGCCTGCAAAAAAAGATGGGTTTTTAGGGATTGAGGTTTTAGGAGATGGGCTTGTGTTAGATCTTGACACAGAGGCTAAAAATGGAGTCTTGGATGAATTTGGTCAGAAATTGAGTCTGAAGAAAATGATTGAGGAGCTAAATTTACCCGAAGTCCCTTCAGTTTTCATCTGCCCAATTTCTCTTGAACCCATGCAAGAGCCCGTTACTCTCTGCACCGGCCAAACCTACGAGAAATCGAACATCCTCAAATGGTTCAGCTTAGGTCACTTCACTTGTCCAACCACAATGCAAGAGCTCTGGGATTACACCTTAACCCCAAACACTACCCTTAACCATTTAATCCTCACTTGGTTCTCCCAAAAGTACATTCAGGTGAAGAAGAGGTCCCAAGATGCTCAAGGAAGAGCAATCGAGCTCTTGAACGCCCTCAAAAAGGTCAAGGGCCAATCGAGAATCCAAACCCTTAAGGAGTTGAAACGAGTCGTGGCGAATCACACGACCTCCCGAAAGACAGTTGTCGATGAAGGTGGAGTGACAGTTCTTTTATCTTTACTCGGGCCTTTCACTTCGTATGCGGTCGGCTCTGAACTCATCGGGATTCTCGTGAATTTGAGCTTAAGTCCCGAATCGAAGACGAACTTGATGCAACCCGCGAAGATATCGACAGTCGTGGATATTCTGAACGAGGGCTCGTTCGAAACTAAGGTCAATTGTGTACGCTTAATCAAGACTTTGATGGAGGAGGAGAAGGCTTTTCGAAAAGACTTCGTCTCGAGCCATAGGCTTTTGCTTGCTTTAATGCGGCTAGTGAGGGATAAAAGAAGCCCGGACGGTCTTTTTCCCGGGCTCGGGCTTTTGAAGCTAATTAGCATGCACGAGCATGTAAGGGGTTTGATCGTGAGCATTGGGGCAGTACCCCAATTAGTCGAATTAATACCTTTCTTGAATAATAATAATTGTAACAATAATGCAGAGTGCATAGAGATGGTGCTTTTTGTATTGGATGTTTTGTGTTCTGTATCTGAAGGGAGACAAGCTTTGAAGGATTGTCCCAATACGATTCCGAATTTGGTGAATTTGTTGGTGAGAATTTCTGAAAAGTGTACTGAGTACACACTCTCGATTTTATGGTCCGTTTGCAGATTGTGTCCAGAGGAATGCTCGTCGAGGGCTGTTGAGGCTGGCTTAGCAGCAAAGCTTCTCCTTGTGATACAGAGTGGCTGCAAGCCTGCGCTCAAGCAACGAGCCTCCGAGCTTTTGAAGCTCTGCAGTTTGAATTATTCGGATACGATCTTCATTTCAAAGTGTAAATTAACAAGGACAATTCAGTGATTATGGGAGCTTTTGAGTTGCGAAAATGTGAATTATTCGAGGATTTGATTCGATGAATGTGGAGATTCGTATTTGTACGTGAACTGATTACTACATTTGAGCTTCTTTTCGATGAGGAAGAAAAGGGGAAGAAGAAGGCCAATGAGCTCTTTTTTTTTCTTTTCCCGGGAAATAATTACCGTCTGTAAAGATCCTAAAGATGGAATTTTTCATGTAGGCTTTTCTGTAAAATTATGAATATTTTTGGTGCTCTGCAATTGTAATTGTAAGTTTTTTCAGCAGTTGCTTGCTCCATGAAGAATCTCCACATTTTCTTGAATCTTTAGGAGGATTTTGAGGTCCTCCATATTTTTCTTTCATGTTTTGTGCTCAATATTAACAGATTGTGTAGATTATAGTACAATTACAATAGGGCCTTTTTCTTGGCTTCTCATCCATTCATTCTGTATGATTTATTCATAAGTCTTTAGTTTCATCACAAGAGAGCAGCATAAACTATCTCCAGCTTTTACTTTTGTATTGATTTTGATGATCATCAATCTCTCACTTTGTACAACAATAATTTTTTCATTTTTCGTCATTTTATTTTGTCCTTGCTCATCACAATATGTTCTTAACAAGAAGTAAATGTTTAAGTTTACTTGGAAAATAATGTATCCTATCATTTTAATCGAACAAATCACATTATGCGAAAATAGTTTGAGTTGTTAATTATTTTTTGACTCGTTTATCAACTATCCTCATTCCAGAGCTAGCGGTTGTCTGTAAATCGCTTTAGTGTCTAATTTATGTGAACAAAGTCTAGTTTAAACACAATAACCATGAAAAACATGAGCTGAAAATTTGCAACTTGAATGCAGGGACTTTATCATAAGGGAAACTATAAAACGAGTTGAATTCACAACGCCCGAACTCCCATTGACATTTGCAAAACCCGAGGATTTACAGGTCGAATGCTTGTGATATTGTTGTGTTTTTTTAAGGTGATGACTTTGTGCCATACTGGAATTCCTGTAAAAGAAAATGTCAAAGAAGATGAAATTGTTTATGAGAACGAATCACCTGAGGAAGTCTTGTTTTTGGTCGCTGCTAAAGAGTTCGGGTTTAAGTTTTGCCAGAGGACTCAGATTTACCATGATTCAAGAGCTTGATACTTCTTCTGGGTTGGAGATTAAGAGGTTAGAGTTAGAGACACATTTTCTTTTAGTGCAAAAAGAAAAGAAATAATCTCTCAAGTACTTGTTTATACTTAAATGGGTTTTTTTTTAGAAATTTTTTTTTCTGACTAAGTTACTGTATTGATGTGCAGAAAGTACAAGCTTTTGAACTTACTGGAATTCCGTAGCTCCCGAAAGGGAATGTCGGTGATAGTTAGAGATGAAAATGGCGCGATTTTTCTTTTCTGCAAAGGAGCCGATGAGTATGGCTGCTTTTTACCTTATTCAGATTACTTCCTAGAGAATTTTCGTGCAGTGTTTTATTTGATCGGGTGAGAGTTTATCGTTTTTGAGAGTATTTTTAGTGCTTTTTTCTGCAAGAAAGCTGCTAAATTCGACTTAGTTTGTATCTCTTTTGTCACAGATTTGCATGCACTTTGCTAAGGAACGATATGGAGCAACTTCATTTGTGCACGACACGACGAGTAAAGAATATCAAATCGACCAGCAAGAAATGGAGGTGGAATGGAAGACTAGTTTTGCTTTCAAAACGCGCCCACATGACAATGAATTATTACTAACATCTTTTATTATTTGTCGGAATCAAGACTTTCGTTTTTAGTTTTTTAGGACGAAAAATACGAAATTCTGTCGCGATTCAGAGTTTTACCCAACTGATTAGCGAAGAAAACAGAAAGCTCGATTCTCCTTTTGCTTTGTTGGTGGATGGAAAAGCACTCAGAACTCAGCATGAGCAGTGAAGTGAGGATTCACTTCTTCTCGGTCGCTATGAACTGTGATGTCGTCCTGTTTTAATTTCAGTGTTGTGCAAATCAGGACCATATATCGACCCGGAGCCCAATCGACCCTCGAATCGGTCACTAGGATCTCTCTAGCTAGTGGCCCATTATGTACCTTGGACTAGCCGAACATTGGTTGATAGGTCAAAAAATGTGCATATTTTATATATTTAATATTGTATTTTTATATGTTTAAATTATCCACACATTTATATTTTTCGACTAATTTATTATTTAGATGAATTTATTTGTTTTGACGTTACATATGTTATTTTCAGTATTTTGGATGAAAGTTCACGTGATAAATTATCGGGGCCGAGATCCAACGAAAGAGAGGAAAAAAAAAAAAAAAA